TTCTCAACACCAGTATCTTGTTAATGAAGTCGCAGCTCCAGAAGGCTTTTATTTGACATGTAATGCCATGGTCCCAAGCTTGCTACTTGCCAGCACTTAATTCGCGGCTCTTTGGTAAATACACTTTAGCGCGTGTTCACTACAGACATGTCTAAGTGCTGGGTGTGTGAAGCAGAGCTGTGTGCAAAGGGGAAGTAGGGACATACTGTGAATCCCACGAGTGGCCAGTGGACCAGGGGTTTGGCACTCCAGAACCTATCACTAACCTACCAAGGAACAGCAGAGCCAGCATGGCTGGCGGAGCCAGGGAGCTGACCCCTGGCGGGCACAGACAAGGTTTCCTCACACTAAGGGCAAGTGGTAGCAAGGGGCTTCACAACCCTGGGTACCCCTGGGAAGTGTCACAGAGCCTCTAAGCAAAGCTCCCCGTCTGGGCTTGTCGGGGCAGTGGAGAAAGACACCAGCTTTACACAGTTAAGGCTTTAGTTAAGTTATATTGCATTCACATGGAGGTAACACGTATCACTCTGGTTCATTTCATCCTTGGGAGCAGGGCTAAAAGTGAACAACCATTTGAGGGAGTGGCCAGAGTGGAAAAGGTGTGGTTGATTGGACGCGCAAGCTTTTCACTTTAATTTGGGGGCAGGATCATAATAAATACTGCTGGACTGTGATTGGCTGAAATCCTTTCCCTCATCTGAAGTCATCTTAATGGACTGGTTTTAGTCGGCCATTAATTGAAGCTGTAGGAGTGGGGCTGGGGGTCTGATCACATCCGGGCTGAAGCCATGGGGAGGAGAGACCACAATGGGGCTTCCAGGGATGTAGAACATAGAGATGGGACCATGCCACACAGCTCAGCCATTCCCAAGGGCTCGGGAATCAAAAGCCAGTGGCCAGTCAATGAGATCTGACCTGCTGCTAAGGTGAGGTGCATGGGAGCCCATGGCTCTTGGCTTGCTCCCCTCACTAGAGCATCTGATGGCTGAGGCCCTCAGAGGTGCCCCGCAGTGCCAGTGCCCCTCTTGAGATGGCAGCAAGAACATGCGCAGCTGGCCCTGTTCCAAAAATGCAGCCCTCAGGGGCAGGGAGGGTTGGTGTAGGGGCATTGGGGGCAGGGAGGAGGCTGAGGTGGGGGAGTCATGCTGCCTCCTGAAGATTTGGGGCCTTTGAACTGCACCATCCTCCCTGCCAAACTCCCCCACTGCCTGCGACTCCACGAAGCAGCTCCTTGCTGATCTAACGGCAACTGAGTGCCTATTACTCACTGGCCATTGTGTCTCTCACTAGCCCTGGCCCTCAGAGGAGATAAGAGCTAGAGCCTCCTATGAGGAGCAATGTATAGAGCTCATGGGGTTGGGGCATGTGCTTTGGGGATGGAAGGTGTCCTGGTTCTGTCTCTGCTGATGCGGCTCATGTTGGGTGTGTTCCACGGGGCTAGATTTCCCCTGGATGAACTCGTCTGGGACTGGGCATCTCCTCCCAGAAGGATTAAAGATTAAAGAATCCTTATTGAGGTTGCAGGAACAAACCATCCCGATGTGTAGAAAGAATGGTAAATATGGCAGGCGACCAGCTTGGCTTAACAGTGAAATCTTTGCTGATCTTAAACACAAAAAGGAAGCTTACAAGAAGTGGAAGCTTGGACAAATGACCAGGGAGGAGTATAAAAATATTGCTCAGGCATGCAGGAGTGAAATCAGGAAGACCAAATCACACTTAGAGTTGCAGCTAGCAAGAGATGTTAAGAGAAACAAGAAGGGTTTCTTCAGGTATGTTAGCAATAGGGTGACCAGATGACAAAGGTGAAATATTGGGCCGCAGGTGGGAGAGAGGGGCCGGCAGAGGGGAAAAAAAAGGTGGTGGCAGAGCAGAAAAAAAAAGCCACCGGAGGGCCCCCACACACACACCAGCTCACCTCGGGACCCCTTGGAAACCTGAGGCATAGTCTGTGGGCCCCCGGGGACCGCAGGTTGAAAACCACTGCTGAGTTCAGCCAGCCCCTCCAACCGCACCACAGGTGTCAGGGGAGCCCAGCAAGGGACAGGCATGACAGAACCACAGCCGAGCAGTGCAAAGAGGAGCAGAAACGGGGTCCCAGCCGCAGAGCTGCACCCACGGAATTCTCCAGCGGTGGCTTCAGCGGGTGGGAGCTGGGCCAGGGGGAGCCGAGTGGGGCCACCAGGCCTGGGGAGCAGCGGCAGCTCCCTGCAGCCCGGCTAGACCCCCTGCAGCACTAGATGGGGGGCTGGCGCGCCTGCAGGGCAGAGTCTTCTTGTGACGGCCGCCGCTAGGCAGCACAGCCCCGTCTCCACCCGACTCTATGGTGGCCACAACAGCTGAGCACGCCACGGCCCAGAGCTGCCAAGCCCACGTGCTGCTCTAGATTCCCAGGGCAGCCTGGCTTACTTCCCGGCCGCCCTCCCCACCCGGGCCAGGCCGGCCCGCTCCGTGAGCCATGGGCACGGTGCAGGAGGCCCAGGCCTGCCTCACCTTCTACCGGGGGCTCGGGCGGAGGGAGCCGCTGCGGGATCTCTGCCGCGCCGTGCTCACCTTCCTGGAGAAGCTGGACTGGAGCAGTTCGCAGGGCGCCAACCCCTCCCTCCAGCACTTGCGCCACCTTAAAGCTGATCAGCGCAAGCCTGAGAGGGAGGAGGAATGCAGTGTGCTTGGGGAAGAGGCAGAGCCAGGGCGGGGATTTGGGGAGGGATCCAATGGGGCAGTGAGGTGGCAGGACTGGGGGCAGGGCCAGGGCGGGGATTTGGGGAGGAATCCAATGGGGGGAGGAGGGGGCGGAGTCGGGGGCAGGGGGGGCGCAAACCCCTCCAGGCTCCGCCTTGTGCGCCGGAGTGGAGGGCAAAATTGCTTGTTTGTCCAGTGTCCCGACCGAACATCGGTCGGGACGCCAGGACGCGGGACAAACAAGCAAATATCGGGACAGTCCCGATAAAATCGGGACATCTGGTCACCCTAGTTAGCAACAAGAAGAAAGTCAAGGAAAGTGTGGGCCCCTTACTGAATGAAGGAGGCAACCTAGTGACAGAGGATGTGGAAAAAGCTAATATACTCAATGCTTTTTTTGCCTCTGGTCTTCACAAACAAGGTCAGCTCCCAGACTGCTGCACTGGGCAGCACAGCATGGGGAGGAGGTGACCAGCCCTCTGTGGAGAAAGAAGTGGTTCAGGACTATTTAGAAAAGCTGGACGAGCACAAGATGCGCTGCATCCGAGGGTGCTAAAGGAGTTGGCGGATGTGATTGCAGAGCCATTGGCCATTATCTTTGAAAACTCATGGCGATCGGGGCAGGTCCCGGATGACTGGAAAAAGGCTAATGCAGTGCCCATCTTTTAAAAAGGGAAGAAGGCGGATCTAGGGAACTACAGGCCAGTCAGCCTCACCTCAGTCCCTGGAAAAATCATGGAGCAGGTGATCCTAAGGAATCAATTCTGAAGCACTTAGAGGAGAGGAAAGTGATCAGGAACAGTCAGCTTGGATTCACCAAGGGCAAGTCATGCCTGACTAACCTAATTGCCTTCTATGATGAGATAACTGGGTCTGTGGATGAGGGGAAAGCAGTGGATGTGTTATTCCTTGACTTTAGCAAAGCCTTTGTTACAGTCTCCCACAGTATTCTTGCTGACAAGTTAAAGAAGTATGGGCTGGATCAAGGCCGGCTCCAGGCACCAGCGTAGCAAGCAGGTGCCTGGGGCGGCCAATGAAGAGGAGGGCGGCACATTCGGCGGCAATTCAGCGGCGGGGCCATCACTCCCTCTGGAAGCGAAGGACCTGCCACCTACTTGCCGCCGATCACGATTGCAGCATTTTTGTGTGTGTGTGTGTGTGTGTGTGTGTGCGCGCTTGGGGCGGCAAAAACGCTAGGGCTGGCTCTGGGCTGGATGAATGGACTATAAGATGGATAGAAAGCTGGCTAGATTGTCAGGCTCAACGGGTAGTGATCAATGGCTCCATGTGTAGTTGGCAGCCGGTACCAAGCAGAATGCCCCAAGGGTCGGTCCTGGGACCGGTTTTGTTCAATATCTTCATTAATGATCTAGAGGATGGTGTGGACTGCACCCTCAGCAGGTTTGCAGATGACACTAAACTGGGAGGAGTGATAGATACGCTGGAGGGTAGGGATAGGATACAGAGGGACCTAGACAAATTAGAGGATTGGGCCAAAAGAAATCTGATGAGGTTCAGCAAGGACAAGTGCAGAGTCCTGCACTTAGGACGGAAGAATCCCATGCACTGCTACAGACTAGGGACCGAATGGCTAGGTAGCAGTTCTGCAGAAAAGGACCTAGGGGTCACAGTGGACGAGAAGCTGGATATGAGTCAACAGTGTGCTCTTGTTGCCAAGAAAGCTAATGGCATTTTGGGCTGTATAAATAGGAGCATTGCCAGCAGATCGAGGGACGTGATCATTCCCCTCTATTCGGCATTGGTGAGGGCTCATCTGGAGTACTGTGTCCAGTTTTGGGTGAGGCCTACAAGAAGGATATGAAAAAATTGGAGAGAGTCCAGCTGAGGGCAACAAAAATGATTAGGGGGCTGGAGCACATGACTTATGAGGAGAAGCTGAGGGAACTGGAATTATTTAGTCTGCAGAAGAGAAGAATGAGGGGGGGTTTGATAGCTGCTTCCAACTACCTGAAAGGGGGTTCCAAAGAGGATGGATCTAGACTGTTCTCAATGGTACCAGATGACAGAACAAGGAGTAACAGTCTCAAGTTGCAGTGGGGGAGGTTAGGTTGGATATTAGGAAAAACTTTTTCACTAGAAGAGTGGTCAAGCACTGGAATGGGTTACCTAGGGAGGTGGTGGAATCTCCTTCCTTAGAGGTTTTTAAGGTCAGGCTTGACAATGCCCTGGCTGGGATGATTTAGTTGGGGATTGGTCCTGCTTTGAGCAGGGGGTTGAATTAAATGACCTCCTGAGGTCCCTTCCCAACCTGATATTCTATGATTCTATGATTCCCCTTTAAACGGGCTATCCCAGCATAGATTCATTATTGTTTTATTTGGGGGAGGGAAGGATGGATTCTTATGGCTGGACTGGGCAGTCCCGGTTGATCCCCTAGGAACAGTTGATCATCCTGTGGCAGATCCACCGTCTAGCCAGGAATAAAGGGCGTGTCAGTGCAGGAATTTCCACCACCACCACAGGCTCTCTTCTCCCCGAGTTCCATATCTGTGAGCCTGCTGAGATCACAGGAGCCACTCCTTGATCCAGGCGGTCACCTGAGCTCCGTCTTCCTCTCATAGGCAGACTTAGGGCAGATCTGGGAGCCCACAGTGTTTCTGTCCTGCACTGCACTGCAGATGTCAGGATGATGGGCCCGCGCAATGCAGTCCGGACCCCTGATGGGCTCAGTCCACCCCGGCTTCTCACAGCTAACTCCCGTCCACCCGTGGTAGCAGCGGCAGCAGAACTGCCCCCATGCCCTCTGGCCCGGCTCGTCCATGCCCACATAGTTGTTCAGCATGGGGTCCGCTCCCCACTGCTGCGGGCTGAGGTGCAGGAAGGCTCCCAGCTCGTCGGGGCGTTGCCTCACACACCGTCCATGCCCATGACACAGCTGGCGGCTGCAGAGCTGGGCCGCTGACGTCACGTTCACCACGTAGGGCCCCAAGGTGTTGATGATGTAACGGCGGAGGCTCCTGCAGCTCTCCTGGGGGGCGGAAAGCCACATTTACACCCAGTTCTGCTGCAGAGGCTGGCATGACCGGGGAGCAAATGCTGCCACCCATCTGCCCCACCATCGACCCCAGCCCTGCCCTGGAGGGACCCCACCTCCAAACTGAGCTAGGGCTCAGGGGCTCATTGGCTCGTGGGCCTCCCTGCCGAGAAAGAGGAGCAGCCAGTGCCAGCCATGCAGGGCCCCGGGGAAGGGATCTGAGAACCCACACACTCATCTCACACCCCTAAGAGTGAGTCCCTCTTCCCAGACATCTCCTACACAGCTGCTTGCATTACGACTAACACATAGGTGAGTAAATGCAGGCATCGGGCTACGTGGATGGGCACTGTTCATGCCACGTGGACAAAGGGCAGGGCCGCCAGAAATGAATGTACAGACTATTGCACCTCTTAGTATCTAGGTGACGACCCCCTGGGTCTGCTGAGGGCCTGACTGGGGCAAACTGGGGTACTTACAGCTGAACGGGAGTAGGAGTTGTCCCCCCACAGTGCCAGGCCGATGGCACCGAGCGCCGCGCTCTCCCCGATCGTATGGACCAGGTCAGCCTGATCAAGGAAAGAAGGGAACGAGAAAGGGACATTTAGACAAGTAAAATTTGGGCACCAACTCTGGCACCAGTCGGTGGGAGCATGTTACCGTACAGGGCTGTTTTCTTTGCTGGTCTCATGGCACTGGCACCGGCACCGCATCATCTGTGCATGTGTGAGAGGCAGTGCCCGTGGGATCAGTACCCGCCTGGTTCCGGACAGGTGCAGCGTGGTCCTGAGGGTGCCCACGAGGCGTGAACGTAATGTTTATGTTGGTCTGCAGGTGATATTGGCATCCCCCATGACACTGCATGTGCCCCCAGTACAGCACAGCCCCATGGCACTGTCGGGGCAGCATATGAGCCCCTGGCCCCACCTGCACTGAGCAATGCCCCTCATTCAGCGGTCGGTGTCACTGATGTGCAATGAGCCCTAAGCAGAGATCAAAACAAGCCGGGGTTTGCACTGACTGAGGCCGTGTCTACACTACAAAGATAAATCGACCTATGTAAGGTCGACTTACAGCCACCACATCTATTACTGCGGTGGCTGATGTTCACACTGCCCTCCTTCTGTTGGTGGTGCACGTCCTCACCAGCAGCGCTTCCACTGACTGAAGAGGGACAGTGTGGGAGACTGAGATCCAGGGAGTGGAGACTGTGTGGCTGAGGAGCCAAGAGCCGACTTTCTTGTCAATTTCACAGCTGCAGTAGGGGCCTGAAATTGACAAGATGGCCAACAGCAGATGTTACTACAGGAAATTCTGTGCCAAAAAATTAAAAATTATGCACATAAAATTTTAAAATTTTACTAATTGTATTTGTCAATAAATAAATGTGGCTCCAGCATGGGAGTGGGGAGCACAGGCAACTGGCTGCACTGGGGTGGGCGATCACCCTGAAGCCCCCACCTCCCCCTGTACAGTGACTGGCAGTGAGGCTGCACCTGACCCTGACACAATGCAAGGGCTGGGCCTGCCCCAGAAATGCCCCGTGGGCCCTGCCACTCTGCACCAGGTGCTCCAGGTGTGGGCAGGCTCAGTGCATCAGGATCCAAGTGTGGAGGGGCTTAGTGTGGGGGGATCCAGGTGTGGGGTGAGAGGGTTCTGTGTGGGGCAATCTGTGTGCAGGTGGCTCAGTGGGAGACCTGGATGCACAGTGGCTCATTGGAGGGTTCCGGGTGCAGGGGCAATGGGACTCTGCAGGGGAACCAGGTGAAGGTGGTTGCGGCTCAGTGCAGGGGTCTGGGTGAGGGGAGATGTGGCTCAGCGGGGGGGTCTGGGTGTGGATGGCTTAGTGGGGGGGGTGTCTGGGTGCTGGGGGAGTGGGGCTTGATGAGGTGGGGGTTCAGGTGCAGCGGGTTGGGTCTCAGTGGGGTGGGAGCCTGGGGGAGGGGTTTGTCGGAGGGGTCCAGGTGGAGTGGGGAGGCTTGTCAGGATGAGGGTTCGATGGGCCTGCTTAACAGGGGAGCCCCAGCTGCTGCCGAGGGGAGGCTGCATGCCGGGTTCCCGCTCGCGCCCCCCCCAGCAATTCCTCTATCCCCTTTTCTTCTCCATTCCCATCCCCTCACTCCCACATTCCCCTCCCCATGCCCTGTTCCACACCCCCTTTCCTTCCCCACTGCCTCTTCTCCCCACCCCATCACTTCCCTCACTTCCCCTTACCCAGCCCCACTGCGGGCACTCACTGTTGCACAGAAAACAGGAAGGCTCCCAGCACACAGAAGGAGAGCCCGACTGGCACTAGGACCCAGGAGGCGGCATACAGCTGCAGTCTGCAGAGCCCAGATGCAGCCTCCTTCAGCTGGGCAGCTCTGCACTTGCAGAAATGGGGAGGGGGGGGCGGCAATGGCATGTAACCCCATGTACCCCCCCATGCCTCGCCTGTTTGGGGGGCAATAATATCCCAAAAACTACACCCATGATCACCCCCCCCCCCCCCAATGTGTAGCTTCCCTTTGCTTCCCTGACATTTTCTGCAGGGAAGCACAGGAATTCTGCAGCGGGGGGGCAAGGGGGGCATTTTCTGTGGGAGCACAGTCATGCATAATCCCCCCAGGAGTAATCAGATATAAGGAAGGCAGTGTCTACACAGACACTACCTTGTCCTAACTACACTGACATAAGGCTCTCATTGAAATAGTTTTATTATGTCAGCATAGCAGGGGAGTTACATCGGCAGGAGGAGTATTTCAGTGTGTACACCTACACTGGTTTGTCTGCAAAAGCTGACTTTCATTGACAAAACTGTGTAGTGTAGACAAGGCCTGAGTCAACAGCCCCCACCCTTGCTAGCCCCTGGCTGTCCTAGAGGTGCAGCTTCACCACCTAGTGGCCATCAGCGGCTGATCCAGGGCTATTCCCAACCACCAAGAAGGCTGGAGTCTACTGATGAACAGGATACCAGGCACATGGATCTCCAGCTCTGGCTCTCTTCGTGGTGTCCCAATCCCTGGCTCTTACCTCGGACAGGTACCTGGCGGAGTGCCGATAGGAGACTCGGGAGTATGCTATCACCGGCAGGGGCTGCTCCAGGCCAAACCGTGCCACGCGGAAGGCCTCTTGCAGGCGGTGGTGAACGTAGCTCTGGCGCTTGGCCAGCGGAAGCTTGGGTGGGAGGTAGATGCTCGGGTAGAGGGCGGTGGAGGCCTCCCAGAGCCACATGAGCCGATTGTTCCGCAGCACCTCCATGGCATGGCACTCCCCCGTGTAATTCCCCCCCTTCGTCCAGTTATCGTTGAAACAGTCAGGGAACCTGTAGAAGCCCCACAAACCCCAGGGCCTCAGCTCTTTCCCCAGTGCCAGCGTCCTCTCCATGAGCTCCTGGGCTGCTCCCTCGAACTCTAACTCGGCCAAGTAGACTCGCTTCTTGGCACGCATCTCTGGGAACCTCTCCCGGACCCACTGCTCAGAGGCCTCCTTGTACACTGCCTTGGGGCCCCAGTTCCGTTTCCACAGCGGCCTCCACTCCTCCCAGTCGACCACGGCCAGCCCGTGGAAGTCTGGCTGCAGGAGCTGAGTGATCGCTGCCGCAGCCCTCTCTAGGTGCTGCTTGAGACGGACTTTCTGGGGGATCCCCCCATTGTGGTGCTCGCCCTCCGGGGAGATGTAGGGGTAGAGTCCAAACTTGTTCTTGTAGAAGATGGTCATGTTCTGGCCCTGGAATGCATTGCCTTGGTTCTCCACGATGTTGTAGTCCTCGAGAGGCAGGGCAACCCCAAAGCGCTGGTAGCACCGGGCTGTGGGCATGTTCCACACCACCACAAACGGCTCGTGCTGGAGAAGGGGGCCGGCGGATGCACTCTCCCAACTGCACCCTCTCAAGGGCAGGATGGCTCCGAGGCAGAACAGGACCCAGGGCCAGACAGTTAGGCCCAGAGTCATGGTGGACGTTCTGCAACTATGTCCGGTCCAGACCCCCTCCTGCTTCCTTCCTGAATTAACACCCTACAAGGGGAGAGCAAATCAGAGGCGGGGTGAGACCAGGGAGCCACGCCTATTCTAACACTAAGGGGAACAGCTTGTCCACAGCTTCCTCTCTCAGCCCCACATCCTCTCCCTTGAGCTCCAACCATGGCAATGGGAGCAACCAACACAACCTGTGCCCCAGGACAGACTGTGGCAGGTCACCCTGGAATCCTGGGAAAAGGCCCCAGCCCATGTCACCCACCTCAGGCTAAGGAGGACCTGATGCCAGCTGAGAACTGGTCTTTTCTTGCTACATCCTGAGATTGCCCAAGGTCGGCTTGTGGCTGAGCCCATTGGGGCGCCAAAGGGCTACTGGAGAGGATAGCTGTGCAAATTATGCCCCAGGATTGAGAAGCATAAAACCCCATGGCTTAGTTTGCTCTGGGTTCCTCCTTGTCCTTTGTTTTCCCTTCCAAATTACAGGTGTAATGGGTGTTGAAACCTATAGGTGGTGTTTTCTCTGATTGCATTAGTGCATCCCAGCCAGCCCTCAGCCTGGGCTTTGTCTGCCCCCATGATGTTGTCTCCACTGTTTCCTGCCCCTTGGACTGGACCTCACCTCTGACCCGGCCTTCCCACCAGATCACACTTGGACCAGGGACTCGTTCTCCACAGGGAAAGAGCCTGAACTCCCAGTTGACACCAGCAAGCAGAATCACCCCCAGATCAGTGCCCCAGGAAAGGAGCCCCTGCTTGGCCCGTCTGGGTGCAGCTCCCAGGCTGGGATGCGCAAGAGGATCTAAGGCTCCTAATTCCCAATGGAAGCTGGGAACCTTTGTGGATCTGGGCCTTAAGTTCTTTGGGGCAGGGAGTGTCTCTTATTATGCATGACGGGCAGAGCTGTCCCTAGGTTACGGCGAATCGGGGTGACCGCTCCAGACCGTGTGCTTTGGGGGCCCCACGGGCTGACACAATTGGCCAGCATGGCTGGTCCCAGAAGTGACGGGTCAGTCCCGGAAGTGACAAATTCATCACTTCCGCCCTGGGCCCCGCAACCCCTAGGGACAGCCCTGATGATGGGGTCTTGATCTTGGAAAACCTCCTACAATGAAACAGCCACATTCTTGTCTCCCGCCGTCGCTCTGATCTGCGGTCAGGGCCTCAACAGCATGTGGCTAAGGGCAACGCTAGGTTCTCTCTGCTGGTGCCCCTCCACACCAGGGTACACAGATGGTCCTGAGTGGGCACCAAGAAGCTCAGGCTGGAGGAACCACCTAGGGGGAGATTTGCAGGCAGGGGTGCAAGTAGCGCAGTACCCTCCAGTACGCAGTATCGGCAAGAGATTTTTAGTGGGTACGGGGTATCAGAAAGACTTGGGGCTAGCTCCCCACTCCGGAGGGCGGGACGGGGCTGCACTCTGCTCCTTAAAGGAGCAGAACGGGGCTAGGGAGAGCATTCATTCTTTAAATGGCTTTAATAGCACAATACATATGCTAACAAATGTAAACAAAGGCTTTGTTTAAGTTTTTTAGCATATATATTGTGCTGTTACATTGGTCAGGGGTCCTTGAGGGGGATGGGGAGGATAGCGGGTGATGGACAGAAGGTGTTTAAACAGTGTTTTTGATTCTGTTTCTCCCCATTGGTCTGAATTATCCATGACATTCATACTGCATCACATCAAGTCCAAATCATTAGAGGAATGCCTCTGCTTGCATCAACCAGAGGATGTTTGGATTCTGATGTCAGCCCAATTGTGCAGCCTTATGGAAATCAGGTGTTGTCCCCAGTGTACACAGAATTCTTCTTTGCAGCCAAACTAGTCTAACATGCATTTTGTTAACTGGAACTGGAGCAGCAAAACAAAGAAAATAAATGCTTCATTTTCCAGCTTTGTGGGTGAGAGAACTATAAGTGAAGATTATAATGCCGGACACTGATGGCCATAAACCAGCTGCCTCAGGAATCTGCCAAGAACTTTGCTGGAAATATGTTCCTCATCTTAGCAACGGAGCTACAACTTATCAGACATCTGCCCACCTTTATTCGAATGAAGCTCCTTCTGATCTGACAGCTCAGGCATTGTCAGTTTCATCCAGAACAATTTACAAACTTGGAACCTAATCCTGTAAACTCTTAATCATTTGATCAATCCCATTGAAGACAATAGGACTATTTGCATGACTATGGACCACTTTTGTGGACTAGTAAGAGTTTCAGAAGTCTGTTCCTATAAAAACAATGAGGAGTCCTTGTGGCACCTTAGAGACTAAGGCACCTTAGAGACTAACAAATTTATTGTGGGCTGTAGCCCACGAAAGCTTATGCCCAAATAAATCTGTTAGTTTCTAAGGTGCCACAAGGACTCCTTGTTGTTTTACTGATACAGACTAACATGGCTACCTCTCTGAAACCTGTTCCTATAAAGGAAGTTGAATGCCCCATTGAAATGCAATGTTTGGGTACAATACCATAAAGCAGTTAAGGATACAGTTCTACTTAAAATTTGTCTTTTAATAAGTCAGACCTATGCTGAAATGGCTCCTCACCAAACTCCTATATTCCATATAAACAGACTGAATACTATATATGTGGGGGGAAAGAGAGTAGTTAAGCATGTTGATGTTTGTATATACAAAGGGGTGTGTCAGAGGGGACGGGGAGAGCATGGGGTCCCAGGGCTGGGGGCAGGGCAGGGAGGAGTCACATGGAGGGTCACGTGGGGAGGTCACGTGCCCCCCCCCTTGTGTCCCTCCCATGAGTGCTGTACCGTCAAGAAATGATTTCTACTTCCACCACTGTTCGCAGGGGGCAGTTAGGCACCACTGGGAGTTGGGCGAATAATGCTCAGGCTGCCTGTAAGCCGCAGCACCAGCGGGGAGCATAAAATATCACGTTCCTGCTCATGCACAAGCCATGCCACTGCCCCCCTCCCCACTGGCTCAGATGCACCCTCCCTGCAGTCGCTCCAATGGCCAGCGAGGCGAATGCAAGGTGGGGGAAGGGGTCCAGAACAGTTCTGACTCTCCCCACTTAAGACCTGATCCAACCGTTGGACCAGGCCCGGCTGCAAGCGGCCAGGGTAGCCAATGCCAGCTCGCCACTCCCCAGCTGCGACAGAGATATCTTCGGAGAGAGAAGATTAGGAACCAGATCGGTCTCGGGTGCCGCGTGACAGCCCAGAGCCACGTTCTAATCCCCCCAGAATGCACTGCCTGGGCTCTCACTGCCTCCTGGCACCCCAGAGACAGGCTCTAATCCACCCCGAATCTGCTGCTCAGAGCTCAGTTACAACTGACCTTGTTGCTTGAATGTCACCTACCTTTTCCCCTATTTTCACAGCCCTGGTAATTCTAGGTCTGTGTTTTTCCCAGCACAAACACTCCAAACTTATCTATACACTGCACTCGCACCAGCAGCCCAACCCTCCTGGGAGACCCTGCAATAACAAACCCAAGTGCAACACTCAGCACTTGCAAGCAACGCTACAATAACAAACCCACATGTGTATAGCCCAGCACTTCCAAGCAACCCTACAATAACAAACTCACGTGCAACATCCAGCCCTTGAGAAACTCTATAACAACACCCTAGTGTGTGAATTCCAGTGCCAACAAATGACCCTGCAATAGCAAACCAATGTGTGCAGCCCCTGTGCCCCCAACAACCCTACAGTACCAGTGTGCATGTAACTAGCTCCGCTTGAGCCCTTAGCGGGGTTTGATCGATGGCACTAGAAGCACAAGCACTATTTGAGCTAAAGAAATACCTCTTAGCAGGCAGCTGTAGTAGACTTTTAGCCTCTTACATGAACCAGCCACTAGAGGGAGACAGAGACACACTCTCCCCAGTGTGGGTTACATGTGCTCTTGAGCAACTCTGCAATGACCCGTCCCTGAATATAAAGCGCATCATCAGAAGCAAGCTCCCCACAGAGCAGGAAACTCCACCTCACACCTGCCAGAACAACAGATGCAAAACCTGCAGCCATATCTCCGCTGCTACAATGATCAACACCCCCCCTCTCCCCAGCACACCTTTCAAGATCCACAGGTCCTACACATGCCAATCACAACATGTGCTGTACCCCATCCAGTGCACTAAATGCCCCAGTAGCAACTATGTTGGTGAAACTAGGCAATCCCCATGCTCTGGAATGAACCCTCACAGGAAAATGATAAAAGACAAAAGCACCCTATCACCTATGGCCGAACACGTCTCACAAGGCGATCACTCTTTGTCCTTTGACCACTCTTTGACCACTCAGTCCTCAGCCCCAAAGGAAACCTGCACAACACTTACAAGAGATGAGCCTGGGAGCTTAAATTCATAACTTTGCTAGACACTGAAAATCCCGGACGGAACAGAGACAGACAATAGATTTATGGCTTATCACAACAATCTATAACCCACTAACAACCCCCCTCAGCTCCTTTCCTCCTCTAACTGCAAGGGTGTTAATGGGCCACCCCACCTTGACTGGTCCCTTGAAACGTGTGTTAAATACTTATGCTAAACAATTGTTCAAATCTGGGATTTAATTGTGGCACTTTGAGGAAGAGCTCTGTACAGCTCCAAAGTTTCTCTCTTTCACCAACAGAAGTTGGCCCAATAAAAGATATTACCTTACCCACCTCTAATATCTCCTGTCTAATGTCTCTCTAATATCCCCTAGAGTCAGAGAGCACATGGACATGTGATGGGGAGGGGGCATTTTTGCAAAGGAAGCTTCCGAAAGGAGCTCAGCAACATTTTTAGATGGGGGGATAGAACGGGTGCCCGACAGCTTCCGCAGAGATGCTGTGCTAGCCGAAACATTGCCAGGTCAGTACAACTGGCCCCACGGAGCTCACAGTGTGTAGTGTTCAGGGATGGACAGACAGCTGTTCCGTACTTGGCGCTCCTCAGGGGGCTGGGATATTGACAGGCCAGCATTCAGGGTGGCTGACGTCCCACCTGGACTCATTCTCATTTCCCCCACCCCAGCTGAGGGTCCTTTCCCAGCAAGCTTCACAGCAAATGAAGATCCCGGCAGCAGG